TGAGATGTGTGCACACGTGTGAGATGTGTGCATGCGTGTAGGTCGCCTGACTGCAAAGCCACCATCTCTCCGGACAGTTACAGTCGTAGGAATAATTATCTGATGGTTCTGCAGGTGATGATTTTTTATTGCCTGATTTATGAGAAGGTGCAGGCTGAGGGGATGGGAGCACGCTCTCAGTTCTTGTCTGTAGATTGATTTTTGGATGCTCACGTTCAACACCAGGCACCTGTATTCCCTCCCTTCTGTCTTAGGCACAGAGATGTTCTGTACGTGTGGGGTTTAACTGGTTCTCTTTCTACCTTCAGCCCTGTTAACTAAACGATTGTGACTTTTCCTGACACTACAGCAGCGGGCAGTCTGACCAACTACAAACTTGGTCGCTCATTTGCCTCCCATCCCTTGAGGTCCGTGTTTGTGAAGTGCAAAAAGAAGAGAGACTCTAAAAGGTTCATCAGCAGGGAATTGCTGATGTGCTGTGGAGAGGACCCGGAAGTGGACTGTCTCTTCAGAGCTCCCAGGCAGTGAGCGATCACACGGGCTCTTGGGAGGTTCATGCATTACGTGCTGTGCACAAGCAAAATCTAGAGCCGATGGGGGTACTGAAGCCTTCAGGGCTTCATGACACGACCCTAGCACCTGGCTGTCAGCAAACCAGGCAGTTGCTCGGGAAAATCAATTTACAGGGCCAAGGACAAGCATCCCCATCCATCTGGGGAGCAAAGGCACAGTTTTGGCCCCAGGAACACGGGCAGTCTGGAGTGGATTGTTCCTGTGTGTAGATAAATAACCATCTTGTTCCTCCATTCCTTTTTTTTTCAGCTGTGTAGCTTCTGTGCGTTCCCCTCCTTGTTTTTCCTCAGCCGTGTCTGCGTCCAGATCTCCAGTTGGTTATTCCAGGGTCTTTATTTCTGTCTGTCTCAGCCCTGAAACTGCCCTGGAAGGCTCTTAAGTGCTTTTGTTGCTGCAGTTGATGGGAGCAAAGCCTTCCAGGCTGCATTAGTGCTGCTTCAGGCTGGCAGGCAACAGATGGAAAATAAACTAGTTCAGGAGCTCTGGGGATGGTAATGGTGCTGCAGGCAATAGAGAATAAACACGATTAAACAGCAGAATACAGAGTATTTATCCTTGCAGCTTTAGGCTTTCACGGGGGTGGCAGGGGAAGCTGCCCCAAATGATGGGTCACAGAGGATGTGCTGCAGGCTGGCTGGCAGTGAGGTGGCTTCTCTGACTTGCTGTATGTGTCTCTCTTCTTCTCACACCAACCTGGAGCTCTCTTGTTCCACCTACAAGTTGTCCCTTTCCCTTCAGTGCTGTGGAGTGGAAATTACTAGAAGCATCTAGAGCCTTTTGGGGGCTGCTCCAAGGGAGACATTGCGTTTCAGTGGCGTTCCCACTGGATGATCTCCATGTGGGCTTTGCAAAGAGAGAAAAACCAAGGCACAAGGTGGCTGGGATCTTACAGAAGTTTCTGGAGAAAACCAGGGGGTTTGTGGCTCCCGAATGAGTGGGCAGCATTCCCTGCGGAGCAAGGGGCTGAAATGCTCCATCCAGTCCCAAGGCTGGAGGATTGGAGGGGAACCTGAGGAGAGCAGGGTGGTTGTGTGTGGTAAAGCTGGCTTGGATCTCAGCACGGGTGTACGTTCAGTTGCTTTCTGCAGAGTTACAAGGGCTCAGTTAATTTCCTTTGTGTTTTTGTAATTGGATAGTCATGTATTTACTGCCTCTGTTTCACTGCGCATCAGTTAATTACAGAAATCACCATCTCCAGGTGCTCTGAATATCTGCAGGTTTAGGAATAACTACCTGGAAAAAAGTTGGAAATTTGTCTGACAAAAGACTTTGAGGCCGACTCTGAGCAAATGATTCGGTCTGAATTACTCAGGCAGATGTAGTTTTAATATGCTCATGCCAATAGTTCCTGGACACCGATCCCTATTGTAAATAGCACAAAATCCTGCCAAGGGGTGTTAATCTTTCCATTTGATGGCTGTGTTTGTGTGCTGGAAAGAATGCAAATTAACTCTGAAGCTGAGAGGGGACAGAGTGAATTTCTGTAAGAGATTGGAATGAAATCTCACTTACCTCTTCTTCCCAAACTAGGAGCTGGCACTGAAGTCTTTGGGAAGGGAGGGGCTGTTTCTCTTTTCTTCTCTGGACACAAACAACGATCTGTACCTCAGTCCAGAGGAGTTCAAGCCGATAGCTGAGAAGCTGACAGGTAGGTGTCTGTCTGTCTTGCAGAGCTTGCTCTGCACAAACCAAGTAAAAGCCAAAGATAATACACTCAGCAGTTTTTTATTCATGTCTCATTTTTTTTCTGGGTGCTGTTTTGGTTCTTATTTACATGAAGAAAGGCTGCTAAGCTTTGACATGTTTTTGAAAAGGCTTAAGCACTACACATCACTTTCACAAAGTAGAGTTTTTCTGAGACCAAAGATCCCATTGCTAGACTAGGAAAGTACATAAGTTACTTTGTCTAGAGCTTAGAGGGGATTTGGGATGGGTGAATGCAACAAATACAGCTCAGCCCAAGCTAAGGCCAGAACTATTAGTGAGCCTCAGCGCTTCATTCGTATGCTCCTCTGGCTGTATCCATCTCTCTCGGATAGCAATTGTGAGAGATTGTGTTTGGAGACTGTATCAGCGTGTGGCAAATGTCTCTTGGTGGTGCCAAGCAGGGAGTGTGGTGATGATAATGTACAGGAGAGCTTACAGCACAGTCAAAATACAGACAGTTGTTTGCTCGGGCTGTAATGAATTGGCTAAAGCATGTGTTCTGATCCCACTGAGGTGGAGTGAGACTGCTTAACTGAGCCGTGGGGTTTAGAGAGTTGTCTGCTAAAAGGAGGGCTGCCCTTTAATTCATGCAGCCAAAGCTGGTCTCTGGGGTGGGTCTGAGTTCTGCTGCTTCCTACAGTGTAGGGACAGCTGGGAAACTCCCAGTGCTCCTGGATTTGCCAGGATAAATGTGTAATCACTTCACAATTGCTTAAAAGGGGAGGGAGGGGAAACAGCTGCTTCAATTCCTGTTGCTTTGTCTAGGGGTTGCTCCCATCTCAGAATTTGAAGAGGAGGAGACGCCTGATCCAAGCGGGGAGACGTTGGCCATTGTGGCTAAATTCCAGCCTCTGGTCATGGAAACCATGACGAAGAGCAAAGACGGTTTCTTGGGAGTAGGTATCACAGGGGATGTGCATGGCCAGGAATTCTGGTATAAACACGTCCTATGAGCTGGTGGCATCACCAGGAACAAGTGCTAGCATGTTGGCAGGGGGAGGTGGTCTTGCTCAAGCCCGTGGGATTTGCTGTGACGAGCAAGCTCACAGCTTTCTGCGGCGTTTCATTGTTTTCAGTGCACTCAGCAGCTTTGTGTCCCAATTAATACGCCCTTCCTGGGAAGCTTGAAGCAAACATTCGAGATGGCTCTCCTGGAGCTAAGTCCAAAAGCAGTGATATCTTCCCCTCTCTCCCATTTCCTATTACTCACATAATTGAAAGTTGACAGAACTATTTGGTGGTGTTTAGGGTGGTAGGATGAATTCAAAACATGATGGATTTTTTCCCCCTTCTCCAAAGCCCACTTACATCCATCAGCATCTCTGCACATTTGAAGAGTCTGGTCTGGGCTCTGATAGTGTCTTTTGTTCACAGATTTCTCACGTCGCTCTGTCTGGGCTGAGGAATTGGACTGCCCCAGCAGCCCCTATGAGCATGATGCTTGCCAGACAGTTTAAAGCCTTTCTTCCTCCAAAAAATAAACTGGATCTTGGGGATCCGTGGTGGATAATTCCTAGTGAATTAAACATCTTCACTGGGTATCTTTCCAACAACAGATTTTACCCTCCACCTCCCAAGGGCAAAGAGGTAAGATATGAAACTCAGTTTCTTCACACCTGCGAGGTAATTTGTGTAAATGTTCTGCCTTATAGCCCGGATGAACCACAGGAGTCCCCAGAGCGGACAAGGCTGTTGCATTATGTCTCCCTGGACTTTCTAAGGGAGCAAAGATGCAGTGAACAGCCAGGAGCAGAGTCTTCTAGACTGGAGGTAAAACAGAGCAGGCAAAAGCTCTAGGTGTGTGTCATGGCCAGATGAGGCTGACTCAGGTCGCTTCATCTTGCTTCCTTTAAGTGTTTGGGATCGTCTTTCCCAGACAGGGAAGGGGAGAGGGTTATTCAGAAAGCACTTGTATGAAGTGATTGTGCCTTGTGGAATAATTTGGGCCTACAAGAAAGCTGGGGAGGGACTTTTTGTAAGGGCAGTTAATGATAGAACAAGGGAAAATGGGTTTAAACTGGGAGAGGGGAGGTTTAGATTAGATATTAAGGAGAAATTCTTCACTGTGAGGGTGGTCAGACACTGGCCCAGGTTGCCCAGAGAAGCTGTGGCTGCTCCTCCCTGGAAGTGTTTGCAGCCAGGTTGGATGAGGCTTTGAGCAACGTGGTCTAGTGGAAGGTGTCCCTGCTGCTGGCAGGGGGGTTGGGACTGGATGAGCTTTCAGGTCCCTTCCAACCCAGCCCAGTCTAAAGTTCTATGATTTCCAAGTGCCACCCCAAAGGTGAGTGTTTCATTGACAAGTGATGTGTGTACATCGTGTGTAAAGCCGGGTGTGTGTATTGCTGTCCCCCGAGGTGCCCGGGTGGGTGCCAGTGATCACATATAGATGGACCTTCGCAGCCTGGTGTGTTTATTGATTGCACACCCGCTCCTTCAAAGTTTTAACTACTATTGATGGAGACACCATCATAGATCAGTTTACTGTACACAGACATTCAACCAACTGGGATGATGGAAACTTGCAAACAATAGGAATAGCATCAAAAACATGGAAGATGGATTAATTTTTAACAGCAGTCTCTTGCTTTATCTCCTTGTTTTGTGATTAGGTAGTTCTCTGAGCTAATTTTTAAGTCTTAGCAGTTCTCTTGCCTTCCTGCTCTGGTGGGGAGTTACTTTGGAGCTGCAGCTGACCTGCAGTGGAGGAACTGTTCTCATTTTTGCTCTCTTACACTAGATCATAATCCACAAGCTTTTGAGCATGTTCCACCCACGCCCCTTTGTCAAAACCCGCTTTGCTCCCCAGGGAGCTGTGGCCTGCATCCAAGCCATCAGCACCTTCTACTACACCATAGCGTTCCGGTAAGGCCCTGGGTCTGGGGTGTTAGGGGAGGGCTTGGGGGCACGTTTGCATTTGTTCCCAATCTCAGGGGAGTGGGGAAGGCTGCAGTGAGCCTGTGGCAGAGAGTGTGCGTGTCATTGCCTGTGCAGTTGCGTTCCCAAGCATGATCAGATGTGTCCTGGCTGGGAGGGAGGCCAAGCAGTTCCAGGAAGAGGGTGGTTCACAGCCAGCTCTTGCCAGCTCTTGCCTGTGTGTGATGCTTTGCTGACGCCTGGGACCCCTGCTCCCAGCGTCACTGAGTCCCTGCTGAGGCAGGGACTGTTGCCCACATGCAGGACAGCAGCCATTCTCCATCACCCTTGGTTTGGAGCTATCTCTGGCCAAAAGGGGAGAGTCTGATTAGGCAGAAATGTGTTATATTTTGGTTAATCGAGGGGTAGAGTGCCTTTCCAAGGGGGAGAGTCTGGGCAATTGTTCCCTTGTTTTACTGGGGGTGTTACTTGCAAATTTGATTTGTCTGATCAAGCTGAAAGGGTGGCTCAGTGGGCTTTAGTCTGTTCCTGTGTTTCAAGGAATGATAATGTAATTCATCCTTCCTGGATGGTCACTTACTGCCCAGTTCCAAAAGGCATCAATATTGGAGATGACCCTGACCCAGGAGATCTGCTCCAGCCTTTTACCCTCTTCATTGTGTGACATGAAAAGCTTTTTGAACTGAACCTCTCTGCCCCAGTTTAGCTTCATCATTTCTGATGCCTGGAGATAACTTCTCCCAGCTGTCATCTGCAATGCATGATCCATTCTCTCCTCCTGGCACTGCAGCTGACACTCCTTTCTCATTTCAGAATCCACGCTGAGTTCCAGCTGAATGAGCCACCAGACTTCCCCTTCTGGTTTTCCCCAGGCCAGTTCACAGGTCACATCATCCTCTCCAAGGATTCTTCCCATGTCCGAGAGTTTAAGCTCTATGTCCCTAACAACAGGTACAACAGGTTTCTCTCTCTTCCTGGGTGCTGAACAGACCTGAGGAGTGTTAGAAATGGTTCCCAGTGGAGCCCAGGGGCTCTGGGATCCTGTCCTGTGCGGGGCTGGGAGCTGTTTGTGGGGGGATGCTGCTGGGCTCTTTTTTTGTGAAGGTAAGAGTGCGGTGACAGGCCTGTCCCTTGCGGTACGTGGGCATCCTGGCCCCTGCAGGGAAGGCAGATCTGCAGGCTGAGCTTCGGGCAGGCTGGCTCTGCTGTTTATCTGTTTTCCCCACACGTCCTTCTCTGCCAGCGGTCATCACGGTCATCGTGTCCTCAATTCTCTAGATAAACTGGTTCTGGTGCAGTTTTTCAGGAATAGCTCTGTTTACCAACAGGTCTGGGGGTGCATCTGTCTTGGAAGAGACAGAGAAGGGCAAGGGCAGAGGAGGGACAGGGGAGAAGCAGGGCAGAGGTTGCTGGGGACATTGCAGATGTCAGATACCTGTTGCAAGCTGCAGAAGGCTCCTCAAGTGTCTGTGATTGATGAACTCATGCTTTTCAGCCAAGTGCCTGGACAGTCTGAGTGAACTGAGCTCTGCAGTTGCCTATAAAACTGGAAAATGCATCTCTACTAGTCGCTGAGGATCCCTCACCCATTTCAGGGTCTGATTCACTCACCAGTAACTGTCCCTTGGTTCTTAGGTGGGGTGTGGAGAGGCAGCCCCTGGCAATCCCAGTGCCTGGCTCAAAGCCCTGAAGTTCAGCAAACCCTGATGTTCTTGCTTCAACACATTTTTATGCTTGGTGTTTCACAGGTTAAGGTTTTGTGTGCATAGCTTCACACGAGCTCATTCCTGTTCTGTGGCAAACAGCTGGAAGCGTTTCAGGGGAAAGAAGCTTCAAATCTCTTTGCCCATGACGGCTGGAGTGAAAATTCTATTATAACATTACCCCGGCAACTCAATCCCTGTGACTCTGTCAGCACATTTGTTACAGCAAGCAGGCACTTACAGCTCTGCCAGCAACTCCTTACAAAAGCCTTTTGCTTCCAAAAAACACTTTTAAAATTTTTTTTTGCAGGATCAGAATGTGCAAGTGCTGGGGAGGAAGAGGGAGCAAAGACACCTCTCTCCTTACGCTGACAGTACTCAGAGGTGTGAGCGCATTTACCCAGAGTGTTGGGTGGGTGCCTGGGCTTCAGTGTTGACCCTGCAAGAGGAACATTGGATGTTCTCATTTGGGGTTTCCCATCCACAGCTTCAGCCTTGAATGACTCAGAACATCCCAGGTTTACTTTGCAGGTCTCTGAACGTTGATATGGAGTGGCTGTACGGTGCGAGCGAAAGCAGCAACATGGAAGTGGATATTGGTTACCTGCCTCAGGTCTGTAGTCACTCTCAGTCCTCCATGTGCGTGCAGCATCCCAGCAGGGATTTATGCTGCCGTGCCCCTGAGCTGTATAACCTCAGTTATCCCCGTTCTTTAGAGCTTTCTCTTGAACATTTCAATATAACAGTATAATCTCTGTTGATCTGTGTAAGTCCTCTGCAGCTGTGTGGCTCCCTACTGCCAGTTCTTGTGATATTTTATTTTTTCCCTCTGCGTGGGTTGAATCCTAAGCTCCTGGAGTCATGTGACTTTTTCCATTTTTAAAAAGTTGTCTGACAGGCAGGGGGGAAGATTAGGAGCTGAACCCAGGCCCTGAACCCAGAGGGGTGGATGAACAACAGTGTGTCTGAATTTAGAAACTGCATGAGGTTATTCCTCTATTTTGTGGTAATCCCAACTCTCAGGACAGGAAACTTAAATCAGGATTTTGAATGCCTGAATTTAACAGTCCCGTTTGCTCCTCAATTAGATCCGTGTTTCTTTTTAATTGCCAAAAGTCAGGAAAAGAGACTTGGAAAATAATTTCAATGTACCAGAACATGGAACTACAGGGAAGTTCCTGAACAGCTTTCCCTGTTGCACCCTCTTGTGGCTAGCCACGGGCTAGTGCTGGTGCTATGAGCAAGAGCTTCAAACTAGCCCTGCACGTCCTGATTTTAAGGATATGGAGGGATTTTAAGGAGTCAAAAATCTCCACTGGGAAGGTGGGAACATGCAGTGAACAGGTCTCATGCATTTCCAGTCTAGCGAGCACAGTCAGATAATATCTGAAGGAAATGAAGTTGCTTTCCTGCTATTCCCCAGTAAAACACATCTGCAGCAGGTCAAGTGCAGCTCCAGGAGACAATGGATCAAGCTGCATCTTCATTCCAAGTTTCACAGTCTTTATTTTGCATCTTTATCATGTCCTGGAGTACAGAAAAAACAGGAGTGGCATATCTGCAGTGTCCCAACTCTCAGCCTGTTGTCCTGCAGATGGAGCTGGAATCGACAGGGCCTTCAGTCCCCTCTGTGATCCATGACGAGAACGGAAATGTGATTGACAGCAGGGATCCCTCAGGGGAGCCCATTCAGTTTGTGTTCGAAGAGATAAACTGGCAGCAGGAAATCCCCTGGGAAGAGGCGGCCCAGAAGCTGGAAGTGGCCATGTATCCATTTAAGAAGGTGAGGAAGGTGCTGGGTTCTTCCTTAGCATGTTTATTTGGGACAGGTCACCTTCACTGAGTTGTGTAGTCACCTCGATGACCAGCAGAAACCAGAGGCCACAACCTGATCAGCATTCAGAGTAGCGTGAGGGTCTCCCAGCTCAGCATGTGCCTCCCAGGCACCACGTGTGTGGCTTGAGGGACTTCCAGTTTCCAGGTGAGGGAGTACAGACAGCCTCTCTGAAAGGCCATTTGGGGTCTCACAGCAGCACAGGCAGGAGCAAAACCTGGATGTCATGTGTCCCAGGCTTGTCTTGTAAATGTAGGCTCATCCTTCCTTCCTCTTATCAGTAGCTGCCGACGTGATTTCTGAGTGAAGCAGGTAATCGCGCTGCTTACAAATGGTTTTCCTCTGGCGTTACCTTTGCAACGTTCAGCTACCTTTGGACCAAGCTTTCCTTATCAGCAGAAAACACACAATCTGCCTCTGCCTCTGCATCCCGCAGTGAGACAGAAATTTATAGCACTGGGTGACCAAAGCTATTTAACATGCCAGTAGCCTGTGGAACAGATGGCTACTGCCTGTCACTGCTTCCATGGCTGAGGGGACACGTTTCAGTGGCTGCATCCTTGTGCCTGAGCTTACAAATGTCCCTCTCAGCTGCCAAGATGTTAATAAAGTTCCCTTCATTTGAGTGATTGGAAGAATCTCTGCTGTAGGGTCCCTCACAGCCAGTCTTTAGGCCGTTTCAATGAGGTTTTGTAATAAATATCTCGAGGCCAAATTCCGCAGGCTGCTGAGGTGTGTTTGCAGACAGCCTGCAGCTCTCTGCTGCGTGTAAAGATGGGGCTCTGAGGGTGCCAGGAACAGCCCACACCTGTGATGGGCTTGCTACAGTCTCACCAGGAGATGAAGTTGTCCCTGGGCATTGCACCACAATTGTCATTTGCTTTAATCTCCAGGAACTGCTGTAGATTAAACTCTGTGTGTGTCACCTGTGGGATGTGGCAGGTCTGGTTCCTTCAGACCCTGCTCATATTTGAGATGGGCTGTTCTGTGTCTATTCCTCAAGCTGTCTCTCTGCCTCCAGGTCTCCTATCTTCCCTTCACACAAGCTTTTGAGAGAGCAAAAGAAGAAAAGAAGCTGGTGCACTCGATCCTGCTGTGGGGTGCCCTGGATGACCAGTCCTGCTGAGGTGAGGACATTCCCAGCATGGCTGGAGGGATGATGTGCCTCATTCAGGCTCTGAGAAGAGCTGGGGGTCAGGGAGCTGGTCAGGAGCCAGCAGTAAATGTTGTGTTACACGCTTTGGCACTGAAGCTGCTGAATAGCAAAGGGCTGGAAGTGGGGAATTACTGATCAGATCTATTTGAGACAAGCCCTAGACCAACTCACTAATTCAAGCACCTTTGTCAAGGGGGAGGCATGGGTCTGGTCTTTCTTGTCCCCTCTCAGTCTGCTGCAGCAGAGGCAGAATCTGCAGGGTGACAGGGACGCTGCTGTCTGCCTTGTTCCTGGCACCTGCACAGAGACAGATGTGAGCTTGGGGTTGTCCTGATGTGTAGGTGTTGACCTCTCACACACCTAAGAACTTACATTGGGCAGGAGTGGTGGGTGGGAGAGGGGCAGGTGGCTTTAGTTCTGTCTGCCCTTAAAAACTCTCCAGCATGTGTAGGCTCTGCTGAGCATAAGCAGCAGGAGGCACTCAGGGTGGATCTGCAGGGCCTGATCCTCTCCTAAGGGCACCACACCAGTCAGCCTCCATGGCAAGCTTGTCCTGGTCCTTCTGGGGCCTTGCAAGTGGCCGGGGCCTGCTCTGGTGAGTCCTCTCTGCCAGCAGCACACACGGGAAACAATAAACTGTGGAAAACTGCCAGCAAAGGAGAAAAATAGACAATGGGCTGGGCCAGGGGGAGTGTGATCCAGCTGCCCCAGCAGCCAGAGCGGTGACATCGATGTGGCATCAAATATGGCAACAGTGAGCTCAAGAAGCACTGCAAACCACTGTCTGCCTCTCTTCCTGTGCCAGGTTCGGGGCGAACTCTCCGGGAGACCGTCCTGGAAAGTTCGCCCATCCTCGAGAGCTTCATCAGCAGCTGGTCACTGGTGAAGGAGCTGGAAGAGCTGCAGGTGAGTGTCACAGCCACATCTGCTGCCTTCGGTGCTGGTGAACGCCGATGGTGCTTGGCACAGGGGTGTCAGCAGGAGCGGGGAGCTCACACCTGTGCAGTGGGGGATTTCGTTCCAAGCCCTCTGTGTCCTAATGATTGCAGGGGCCAAGCAAACACCAGATGGAGGCAGGGTAAGGAAATGGCACAGTGATCCCCTCTGCTCTGTCATGGTGCCAGTTTTAAAAGCTGAACCAGATGCTTCACCGCAAGATAGCCCTGCCCAAGGCCATTTGTGCCATCAACAAACTGACTGCTCTGTAACCTGGGGAGCAATCAAACACTCTCTGAACCCTGAGTCTCCTGATTGCACCTTTCCCCACGTACGAGGCTGTCTCTGGGCTTGTGCTGTCAGCTGGGGTCAGTCACAGAGGGGAGAGGTGGATCAGACTGTTGGTGTGCCTGGAAACTGCCAGGCATGGGTGATTTTATTGTTTGGGGAGAAAATCTACAGCTGAAATGTGAGAGGGAGATGGACCGAAAGGGAATAGTAAAGCAGATGTGAGAATGGAACCAGTTCCTGCCATGCTGCAAAGCAGCTCTTGGGTCCCTCCATTCCTCCTGTGTTCAGTGTGCTCCTCCTGCGCTGTTCTGCTCGTTTTGGTGTGTGCAAACATGTTATTTTGGGGTCTCCTTACAGACCAACAGAGAGAATGAGTTCTACAGCAAGCTGGCTGACCTGCACCTGGAGAAATACAACTTCCCTGTGGAGATGATCATCTGCCTCCCCAACGGCACGGTGGTACGTCCGTCACCCCTTCAGCTGGGCTTGGCTCTTCTCATTAGAACTCTTCAGTGTTCTCTTCAGGGTCATCTGCAAACCCTGAAGCCAGTGTCCACTGCCCCTGGCAGACAAACAGCAGCTCTACCCAGAAATCTGAAACAAATGTCTATTCAGAGACAGAACAACAGCAACTCTGGGCAGGGGGAAAACAACCAGACTTGAACCAAATGTCTGCCTGTGATTCCTCATTGTCCCTGGCGGGAGTCAGTGACCCTTGGGAAGCCATCGTAGCTTCTTTTCTGCACCCATTGTCCCTTCTGCTCATTCTCCAAGGCAGTGGATGGGGATTTTTTCTGGCCCTTAAAGTCTCCTCTCTTTGTCTGTTTTCTTTCCCAGGTTCATCATATCAATGCCAACTACTTCCTGGACATTACTTCTATGAAGCCTGAAGATGTTGAAAGTAGCGTCTTTAGTTTCTCAACCAATTTTGAAGACCCTTCTACTGCAACTTACCTCCAGTTCTTGAAAGAAGGACTGCAAAGAGCAAAACCATACCTGCAAACCTAAAAACAACGGCACCCGAATGCCCCACAGAGATGGCCAAAGACTTCAGAGATCTATTTTGATTACAGCAATTCTTCCTCATCTTCATGGCAGATATTAAGATGCAGACAGTCCCAGGACTGGGACTTTGCTCTGGATGTTGGTTTTCACGCCAAGTTTCAAGTGATACCAGTTTACATAACCTGCCCTTTTGAGTTCAGGCAGATTTTTACAGGAGTGAAAATACTTGAATCCACAAACATTCCCGGTGCGTACCCCTGGGTTTGCCGCTCACCCTCATGTTTTTCCAGCTGCTGTTCAGACTGGTGAAACTCGTAGAACAGCTTTACCAGGCGTCACCCAGAAACCCCTGATCTCAAGGACTGGACTGTGTGTTGAATCACGGAGAACAGTGTTGCCATTAGGACCGAACACTCGTGGTGAGCGCCTGGGTGTAGGCGCAGAATCCAGTGGAGGTGGGAAGCTCCCTCCTGGTAGCCGGTGTCCTCCGCAGCTCCTCGCCAGCAGCAACTCTGAGCTGTGAGCTGCCTGGTGACTTGGCTGCCAGCTCTTCATGACGGCGTTTATGGACAGCAGTGGCAACCCATGCATAGCAGGACTGTAGCTGGTAATGTGTAGACATGAGAGGAGGAGGTTTAGACTGGGGGCTTGAGCTCTGGAACGGCTCCTCCCAGCACCCTGTGTGAGGTGGTGGGAGGGTGGTCTCGCTTATTCAGGTTCTTTGCATCTGAGGGAGGTGCTGAGGTTGGCACAGTGAAATTAGGAACGGAGATCAGGGCATTAGGGATATGGTGCAGCTCAGAGATGTCAGGCATGGATTAACTCGGGGGGGATTAGGGGCCAGAGCCCCTGTGAGTTCCACCAGTGCCGTACGTGCACTCCAGGCTACGGGACACAGTAGTGAGCAGTGCCCCCACCCCAGTCAGCGCAGGCCCACCCCACCCCACCAGCTCTGAGAGCTTTGTTCTCCCAGTGTCTCCTTGGAGCTGGCAAAATGCTCTGTCCATGTTTGCTTCGAGCTTCCAAATCACACTGAACGATGAACCACAATGAAGTTCCCTTCAGGAACAGGAGGTTCAGCGTTGCCCCAAACTGGTTGAGATCTGAGCGGTTTGAAAAGCCAGGAGCACTAACGAAATTTTCAGGAGATTTTTCCAAAGAAATTATTCAGACAGAACACCATTGTCCCTTATCTGTAACCACCTGGGCAGTTCCTCCTCCTCTGTGCCAACACCTGGCTGGAGAGTGAGTGGAATTTGGAGAAAGAAAGGTAAAATGAAACGGGTTTTAAAGCATATTCCTGTAGACAGGTGAGGAGACAAAGCATCTTCAAGAGATGGCTGGAAGCAGCCATGGCTGTTGATGCTTTTTCTGCTCTCTGAAGCACAATTTTGTTGGACCAAATCAAACGAGGGGGAAAGCCATTTTTTTGGAAGGGGTATTTTCATTCCTAGGCTCCAGGACCTGTGAGGAACCGAGGAGTGATGATTAATTATCCTGTCCCCATCCTGCCCCAGCCCTCCTGTCTGTATCTGTGGCTGGAGACTGAGCTTAGATGGACCTCTGGGCTGAGCCAGCGTAGCTTCACTAATTGCTCTAGTGATATTAATTACCCCTGGGATGTTTCTCAGTATTGGCTTTATAACTATGCATCAGCTCTGCATTTCCTCCCACAGTAAGGACAGGCTGGGATCTGGCAGCACTTTCAGCTGCACCAAGTGCCAAAGGCTCCAGGCAGCATTCTGAGACCCAGCTCCTGTCACACCAGTGGTTTTGTCCCTTCGAGGACTTTGGTCTCGTCCCTTTGGGGGACTTTGGCCTGAGTGGAGAGGACACTGAGTGCCTGCCTCCCCCAGCCCCTCGGGGAGCACAGCTGCAGTGCAGATCTGCCCCTCTGGCATTTACAGAGCTTCACCTGAGGTGTTCTGGCTGCACCTTTCCTGAGCCCCTCGGTCAGGGGCTTTGGACTTCGAAGCGGGGTCTGTCAGTTGTGCTCAGGTAGAGAGTTCATTGCATTTGTTTTCCTTCCCCCCGGTTTTGCAGCAGAAGGGGCTGGCGAGGGCCGTGGCCGAGCAGACAGAGATTGCTTTTGACTTCTCAAGATCTGGAAAAACAGGCGCAGCAGCGGTTCTGCGGGGCCACGGGATCCCCTCTGCCTCCCCCTGTGCTTGAGGTCGGGATTTGGAAGCGGCAGCATCCCTGGTTTGATCCTGCAGACGCAGAGATGGGGCCTG